GTTCCTATTGAAAACCATTTTATATTATTTGCAGTGTTGGGAATAATTTGACTTTCACAATGTATGTATAGTACAACACATTGCAAAATACATACAATGCAATTGAAGTAGATATATAAACATGCAATTTTATATTACTTTGGCATACTTTTATACTTCCAGTTAATTTTTCACTGTCAATCAAATAAATTCTTCTTTTAAAAACTTTCAACGCGAAAAATCCATAAAACAATTTCCCATCAGTAGTTATATATGCATGTCTGTATATAGTTAGTTGCCCTTCATATGTACAGTTCACTAAGTTGATAGGGCAGGGCGAGTTATGCATAAAATATTTACTTAGAAAATGAATAAAAAGCGCATATCAGCCGCTACTGCTCGCCACGCTTGCATTTTTATCACTTTGCGCTTCAGCTATTCACTGCACACTTTCCGCAATCACTTTGAACTTTAGAGCTTGCAAAAACACTCACTATTTTTAACAAATTTTTTCCGTTGCACTTTTTTTGCGAATTTCTCCTTTCGGACCGTTGTTTGCCCGTTATACTTTATTGCGCGCTTATTATACTCATTGCCTTGTGTTCAACTTGTTTTTCATTAGTTGCGATTATGTTTTTTACGCTATGGCTGCTTATAAATTTGATTGCAACTTAACATGTGTGGCTGTGTGTGGATGCGGCGCATGCGCAGAAGTGTCTGTTTTATAAGGATTAGTTCTATAAGCCTGTGTTGCATATTTGCTGAGAAGGCAAAACATAAAATTAAAATGTGGCTGCATTTAATTGGTGTAACTTGTTTGAATTGACAAAATTTATTAGTTTTTTATAAAAAGTTCGATAAATAAATAAAGATTATTTTTATATTTTTTTACGCTTTTAGTAAATCGTCTGCTGAAAATTAGAGTCTTTTTTTCATCAGAACAGCTTTTTTCTCTTTTCTTATTGTACTTTCTTTCATCTAAATGAAGGCGCTATTGCTTGACCTAAAAAGCGCATATTTTCCACATTGAAGTGCTTCCCTCCATGTAATAGTTTTACAACACAAAACTAACTTCTTTGTACTAAATAAAAATGATGAAAGAAGCCTTCAATGAAAAAATAATACAAGGGAAAAACTTGTAATTAACTGCACTTGCTGAAATAGATAAGAAAGCCGAGTGTAGAAAGCAAATAAATAAGTATAAATGTATGTGTGCTAAAATTTTGTAGAGCAAGAGTACTTTTGAAAAGATGTTTGTTGGTGGGTAATATAAAAGTATTAGTTATGCAAGCCACTTAAGTGTGCTTCTGAACTGAAACTGAACCAAATATAAGCGCCAAATTTAAAAAGACAGATTGTTATTCAGCACGTTGCTTAAAAATGTAAGAATATTTCTTTTTTGCCTTTTTCAAATATACAGTGTGCCCTAAAAATTACCGAACTTTTAGGTTATTAAATTCAATTTGTTTTATTCAATCGACAAAACTTATCTTAACAAAATGTTGTCTTTCGAAAGATCACTGCACTATTACTAGTGCATGGAACAACTCGAGTCATTAGAGACATCTTTGAAGAAAAAGATATTGCTCTGTTTGCCACGGCGGATTCTTAAACAAAATTAAGATGCTTTTAACAAAAGAATCCTACAATATCTTAAAGTCGTACCTTTCGGTCCGTTTTTTTTTTTTTCGAATTAAATATGGAGATATTTACTGTGGTTTAAAAAAAAATATAAAAGCTGGTGTTCCTCAGGTTAGTGTTTTAGGACCCAACCTTTATCTGCTCTTCACGTGCGATCTACCACACGCTGATCATTGTATTACAGCAACATTTGTAGATGATACTGCGGCCCTGTAAGTCGGCAAAACACAAAAAAATGCAAAATATTCAAAAAATAATAATTTGATAGGACAGCTAAATGGCTAATAAAATTAAATGAAACTAAATCAGTATATATTGTTCTGACACACAGGTAAATCAGATGTATGGCTCTGTACTCAAATAGTGTGCAAATAACACGTCACAATACTGGGCAATATCTAGGCAAGACCCTGAACAGAAAACTTAGATTGCAATAAAAACTCAGAAACACGTATTGACTTTGACTAATCCACCCTCCCCTCCCAACATAACTTCTTGTTTATAAGCAGGCGCTTACACCAATTTAGACTTATCGATACAACTTTGGGGCTGCTTAAGCCCTAGCACTGTCGCTCAAATTGAGCGATTCCAAAAGAAATTTTTAAGATGCGCCTTGCTATGTTCGTCAATATTGAACGCGATCTCGTAATTGACTTAGTTGCCGGATCAATCAACAAATGTACAATGTCTGATGTGGAAAGACTTTCTGACAATGTGAGCACTAAAGCCTCAGCTCTCAAGGCTCAAAGTAATAGAAAGAAAGGTTTAAATTCAAAACCCGTACCATCATACAAATGTCCGTTTAATGCCGCTTTCAGTTCTCGATATAGAAAATAGTCACATCGTGATAAATCAAATAAATACGGAGGATGGTTTTTCAGATAAATCTGTTTGTCAATAAAATTATTTTCACATTTTTGGTTTTCATATATTTCATATACGATAAAACACGCACATACCTTCCTTTATCCCAAATTTTAGTTAAAATTCTCCAAATAGTATCTATCAACATCTTCGTTGTAAAATCTGCATACATATCGATAATTAGGTAGATTTATCCAGAGATTCTTTTACTAGCATTTGAACAACATGGTCGTTGGTCGTCATTAAAATCTACACTACGTTTTTAAGTCGATATAGATTAAATACAATAATTCGCTGGCGTAAATAGGTATCTGATTTTCGATTTCCCAAACTCCAACAACCATTATTGTTCTTCTCCAATTTGTGAGGGCGTTTCATTTTGCCATCATGAGTCACCAAGCGCTAGAGAGTTTCGAAATGAACGTCTTGTATTAGCTATTCAAATGGACTGCTAGCAATGAAAAGGAACTGTGGGAAATTACACACATTATGTGAAAGTAGCTTGTAGTTGAGCTATTTGAATTTAATTTATTTTGGAAATTTGCCATTAAACGATCTACATTACTAAATGTATGCTAAGATGTATTAAACAAAACTTGATAACACTGAAAAAAGCGGTTGAAGCACTCTATCGAAGTATCCGTATAGTTTCTTATGTAGAATTCAACTCGCTTTGTTATTGCTTTCACTTATAAATTTTTTGACAAGAAAGCAGCGCTCAAGGATAGTCATTAGATTAATGGCGAATGGAAGATGACTTACGTCACTTCGTTAGACGGTGGCGAAAGTTTATAGATCTTATTTTTTATGAAAACCACACAGTAGAACACCATACATCCTAATCTGCTTGAACTTATATAAGGGAACTTACTGATCCAATCAAATTAAATTATCGTTATAAAAGTCATTCCATTTCAGAAGTAAAGAAAAATTTACCGTAGAAATTAATAATCAATGAACAATAACCCTCCCTTTTTAGAGCGAATTCGCTGAAATCGATCATATTAAGACCATATCATATTAAGGCCAGACAAACTCGATGACAATTAGTTTAAAAGCAGTGCTCCATCTCTTTTAGCATATTCAGAGTAACATCTGGTCTCTAAATCTCACACTCCTTTAAAAACTTTAAATTATTTCATAGCATACCATCAACTTTTTGGTCCACTTATTCAAACTCTGGAAGTCTCTTGTTTTACAAGACCGAATGCAAAGGTGAATTCTATAAGAAAGTGTATCCTAGTGCATCAAGTATATTAGTATTATTATATACATGTGATCAAAGAATTCGACAAAATTTTTGAAAAATTACGGATAGCAACAAAACAAAACGAAAATCGTGTAAATCGGTCCAGAACGTGCTGCAGAATTTTCTCTTTTTTTTCCAACTATAGTTACGTAAAAAATTCTTACATATACGCAAGTAATTGCAGAATCATCTGAGATAAACTTTTCGGAAGCAGTTTAAATACATTCAATAAATATTAAAGAAAGAATATTATAGGTGCAGCCTGAGTTAAGTATTTTAACGTTTGCTGTGAGTTTCAGTTTCCTTAAAGTCTCACATTAAAGTGTTTTCAAAGCATATCGCAAAAAACACGCAATCAAAAACAAAAGCAAATACCCAGATTTAACCTGCCACTATTTATTCACTTTCCACAACACATAGAGCACCCAAAGGCTACGTCTTAAGAACTGAAGGATACTTCACATTTGCCGTTAGGCGTCTTTAGCGCGCTTGATATATGCATTCATATACACATACATCCATTAATACATACATACATACACCATGTACATAAAACATTAAGGGCGAAACCTAAAAACGGTAAAAGTCTAATACAATAGAATCAGTGAAGCATAAATAATGTGGGATGAAGTCTGAAGAACACACATGACAATTGTTGATTTTCTTTCTTAAACCCTTCGATATGAAGATCAAATGTGTAAAAGTTAGAAAACAGAAGAGTTTAATCAAAAAAAAAAAAAAGTATACATCTAAGCGAAGAAGCAAATAAAGCGTACAACGCAAATGACAACTGAAAGAACACACTTTTTATGCATCTGCACTTAGTGCTATACATACATACATGTGTATATACTCATTTACGCAAGCGCCAGCATTTGACAGCAAGTTGGCATACCACTTTAAGACTTGCCACCACACCGTCACACAAAGTACTGCGCTAAGACACGCAAAGACTAAAAGACTATTGACATTGTAAGCCTTTGAGACGCACTGACGCGACAAACACTCGGCCAATATACCGCAAGCACATACACATTCGTAAAAGAAATTTGTGAAAATGAAAATAAAAATATAAACTCAAGTTGAACAAGTTAAAAATTAAACGCGTGTGCGCTTTTAGGCGTATCTCTTAAACCACCGAAAGGCACACACTCGCAGCCTACAGCCGCACACGCCAGAAAAAACCCAAGTTTTTAATTTAACTTTATACTTGAATGCAGTTTAACTCTTTATTATATAGTTGTCTTTCTTTCTCGTTTTTTTGCAGATTCGGAATTGGAGGAATTTGAGACGCCCGCACGCTATCGTCCCGATTCCTTAAGTGCCCTCAGTCGTACAACGCGCTTCACGGAGGATGAAATCAAACGAATTTATCGCGGTTTTAAGGCTGAGTGTCCGACGGGTGTCGTCAAAGAGGACACATTCAAACTTATCTACTCGCAGTTTTTCCCGCAGGGAGGTTCGTGCGGTACAGTATACTTTGTTCGCTAACACTTTGCCTTGCTATTAACTAGAAGATAGCTTTTGCTTGCTCTTTTCGTTTGTACATGTCTCTTTTGGTGTTGACCCTTTCATCAGTTAATTTGTAAATACAACCTGCTTCGTAATATTAGTGTAGATGCTAACCACTGGAGTAAAACGTATATATATTTATTATACAAAGTGTTGGATATGAGTAAATTAGATAGATTGTGGCTAATATCATCAGAGCTATCAGTGGGAGGATATCTTAGAATGACTTAGATGAACTAATTTTGCGAGCTCTGTCTGTGCGTCCGTCTATGACGGGTTGAAGTTGATTAGTATTCAACTTGTATAGTGAAGGTTTTAAAGTTCCACTTTCTGTAAAATTAAGTTTTTAATTACTTAATTGATTTTAAGGCGCCAAGCGAACTCATTTCGGGAAGTTCGACTGTAATCCGTTTTCACACCAAATACTGACTACATGCATTTTGTAAGTATTTCACAAACCAATTCATACAATTGGGTTATATCCTGATATAAGCTCTGTTTAATAGTATCCACACATCTAGTTAACTATATACTTATTACAAAGAAAATGTTATCTCTTCTAACACAGACCATTCTTTTTCAAATCCCAGATACCAAGTTTGAAAACCTTCGTGCATATGATTAACTTTTAAGCGAAAACAACTATAACTCAATATCTGTGATATCGTGATGAAACTCAGTGGACATCCTTTACTGTTAATTATATGCCCTAGTGAAATGGAAGTGTTGATTTCGTACTGCTCTTGATTCCTATATATCAATTATAATACAATCAACTGTAACGTTTTTCAAATATCCGATTTGACTTTATACCATATATTCAGCGATACACCATAGATTAGTGGCATAAATCAGTCCATCTGTAATCCCAGACCAATATTGTACATATCGATTTTTGTTATCCAGCAATCCTTTAAATAAAATTGGTTTAAAACATGTTCTCATACATAACACATCTGATCAAATTTGAAGCAGACTTTCAAAAAGAAATATATTTTCACCTTCAAACCTGGCTCCCAAATCAAAACACACGTATGATTTAACTTTTCACACAAATATTTTAATTCTCGGATGGAATAGCCTTCAGTGTCTTCAAGAAATTTAGGTTATCCGGTTTCGGTTCATTTTTGGAATTACATTCGGTAGATTGTTGGACAATTTCTTTTGTACAAGTCCATTTTGAATTTGAACGCGGTTGTTTGTCTTGCCTCAAAATCTCAGCATAGTCTTGTCAGAAATATCAATTCCTTGTGGACTCGCAGTGCGGACGGATGTCGGACACACAGTACGCAGATTTTTTAAATCGACCTCGAACCCAAGCAACGTAGAAACGGTAATCAATTGGAACCAAATAACACTTGCAAAGCATGTATTGTTTGGGCCGCTAATCAACGCATTATTTTGGGTATTATGAGACTAATATTGATACGCTTTATACCAAAAAAGTTAACGAAAATGTGTTTACCAATTTGGGCCACTTTTGATACAAGAAGTAAATGGCAATCAAACTCAGCTAAGGAAGAGTCCTATTTCTGAGGTACCCAATATAGTAATCTCTGACTTTCCCGTTGACTTTATACTATTTTAGTGGATGAAATGGGTGACACTTCAATAGCCACAAAGTGGCTGAACTCTGGATATGAATGAAATGTGTACAAATTGGTCTAACTGCCATACCGCTAACATATACATACACATCGTCATCTAAAATGCAGAGTAACGTAGCATCAAAATTATCGAAATTGGCTTTTTTATTCCTTACGATTCAATACATCATATTACATACATTACACTGTCAGATTATATCAATATATAATATAACCATTTTTTAACTAAAACTCAAATTCTATTTCAATGTGAATGGTTTCCATTATATCTTTTTTTCGCCTGTCAACTTATGAAAAGTGCTGTGACGTTGTTTTGCATCTTAGTTGATGATACATTCCACTGCTTTGTTAGACCCTTTCCTATGAATTCAATAGCGTTCTGCTATATTTCGATACCAAATGTCTAAGTAAAATTAGGCGAAAGTATCTAAATAAACTTTTTGGGATCCAGTAGTTAAAAGTGTGTATGTGTATATTTCCACACCAATATTTGATAAATATTTTGATTTGAGTCAGAATAAGTAAAAAACAGAGTTAAGATATGCAATTCGTTTTCAACATTTGTTAAGCTAAGCTTCCTCAACTGCTTACAAAAGATTACTTATAGCTCGTTAAATTTTCTTACTTGTTTCATAAACTTCAACTAAATTCAACTAAATCCAATGAAATTTCCATTTATCTGACTAAGAAATGTTGCGAGAAACCACAAATTAAATCACCGACTGGTCGAATCAAATAATCTCATGTCTGCAACAAGACTGTAGAAGCAAAGTCAACAGTAGTCTCTTCATAGTAGCAGCTTTGGCAAATAAGAAACCGAATAGAATTAAGAAAGTTGAGAGCAAAGCCAAAGCTTAGAAGAAGCCAAAGTCAAAGTTGTGCAGTGATAGTAGAATTGCATTTATATGTATGCATACATTTAGTTAAATTATCAGCATGCTGCAACTAGCAGATTCGGGTTTATGTTAACTTAATGTATGTAGTGCAATTTCGAAATGCAAAACCTCGAAAGGAGACACGTTAGAGCAGATTAAATAAAATCTTATATAATAAAATGTGAGCTCTCATATCTTTAAATCTATTTATAATGCTAATTTTTAAAGTTGAAGTTTCATACAACTTTGCTAAGAGGATTTACGTTTTCTATGACTTAACCTTAAAAAGCTACAGTATAATCGCCTAGAGCTAAAATTTAAAACCTCTACAACGATTTCTTTACACGTCTTTTTTATTATTTGACTTTATACCGCATAGATTATAACAGAAAGCAAGCGGGATTCATAATTAAATTTCCAGTAACATAAAATTTTTAGACAATGTATTTTACTAAGTAAGTACGACTGTCACTAATTAATAAACCAAAATTAGCGAGACCTATCGATCAGTTTGTTGACAGCAGCTGCTTAATTCGATACACCTCGTACAGCGTTGCGTTTTTTACAATGGATAAAATTATCGAACAAACAATTTCTCTCAAATTTGGTATTTCTAACCAAATTTCGTGCGCGGAGTTGTTGCGAATATTGGAAGGGACTTACATTGTTTTATCAAAGTGACAAGCCTACAAGTAGTAAAAAGCCTTCAAACGCAGTCGAGAGATCGTTGAAGATATGACTCGTTCTGGTCGACCTTCGACCTCTTCAACTGATGAAAATATTTAAAAAATAAAGGATACACTGCTTGAGACAATTTGAATAAATTTGGTGGATATTTTGGATATGAAACGCGTTCTTGCCCGACTCGGATAAAGGAAAATTATTTTTCCAAAAGAGAACCGTAAACAGGTCTCTTCCATCACACATTCATGGAAAGCATTATAACTGCCGATGCGGCGTTTGTTATGAGTTTGACATGCAACCAAGTCACCAGCTATCGAATAAAGCAAAAAACCGAGCCGATACCAAAAAAACACGTCAAAGCCGCTCAAAAATCGGGGTGATGTTCCTTGGTTTGTCGATATTCGTATTGTAATGGATCACGAATTTGTTCCGGAATAGCAGACGGTCAATAAGGTGTTCAATGTGGCCGTATTGAGGCATTTTTCGTGGAAAACGGCCGAAATTGTGGAAGAACAATTCATGGATTTTACATGAAGATAATGCACCATCGCCTCTATTGGGACCGAATTTTAAATCAAAAGCGCAATGAAGAACACCGTTCAACCACCATATTCATCAAATTTGACTCCGTGTAATTTTTCCTTGATCCCCAATCGCTAGGTGAAACCCGTTTTCAGTCGATGGAAGAGGTAACACAACATTCGCTAAAGTAGCTGAAAGTCAAAAAGTGCTTATGAAAATTGCTTCGATTAATGGAAAAAACGTTGGCAATTCCGTAGTGTATCACATAGGCGAATATCTAAATATTTTGCATTTTATTTACAATTTCCGGATACTTTTTCAAACTTTCTCAACTGTGTTAACGTAAACCTGACTTCGCGTTTATGAAATCAAAATTGGTGCAAACGGTCAACACTAACTCTAATATCCGTATATGCAGTGTAATCGATTTCAAAATCCGGCTCGAATTTAAACGTTTATAAAGATCCATAACCGATATGCCTACCTTAAGACAAGTGGACTTATTTTCCAGGCTTTATTGACCAAATACGTACTGCATATTGATCCAATCGATACAGACATTGCCTTACGTTTGAATATACATAATTACTTACAGCCTTTGGAACAAATTTATACCATAAGTATCCCTCAATAATGGAATGTAAAGTGGTCACCATGTGATTCTAACAAATAATTCTTTTATTAACACTCTAATTTTAATAAAAAGTTAATTTTTTGTAATTCTTCAGAATACACTAACTGAACAAATAAACATTAAAATACATTCATGCTATGATATTACGAGGTGATTAGTTATAGTCATTCATAGTTAGCAGCGAAGAATGATTGCTTTGCTAAGGCAGAGATTTTTTTTATTTGCAGAATAGAAAATACGGAGATTATATTAGTTGAATACACAATTTTCTGCTTTAAACAACGAATACATGAGTTTTAAAAACATTTTTTTTTTTTAGAAAAATACACAGTTAAACTTCCATATCAAATGTACTGAGTACACCACGTCGTATGAGCAATATGAATGTAATGTTAACATCACTCGTGCGAATATCATTCATATTGCTCATACAACGTGGTGTACTATTAGGATTCGGTATGTACATTTGATGCGCAACTTTAAATACAAGTGAAGCTTCAAGTCAATACTTTGTGCAATAAATTATGGGATATATTTTTTAGAGCGGAAAATTTTGTTTTCAAATATGACAGTTTCGAAGATGTGTGTTAGTTTTTGAGATAAAAAATGTATTGAGAAATTTCAA